GGATTTAGAGTGAATTACAACTCCCAGTACACCTCTCTGCTGCCTGCTCTAATCCATCAAGGAGTCAAGACAAGAGGAAGGGGAGGGAGGGCTGAAGGCCAGGGACATGACGCTTGGGGAGTGGAGTGGTGGGGTGGTGGGGAGAGCCCATAGTTCCCTGTCACTGCTAGGTCATGCTTTATAGCTGCTTCTCTGACATGTTGTCTTTGAATTTTACCCTTTAAAAAATGATAACTTTTTATGGGGGCTGAAGTCAGAAAACAAATGTCCTGAAAATCCAGGCATCAGGAGTATAGGAAAATAACCTGACAATATGACAACATCTGCAGTGTCTCTATAATAAATAAATTTAATACTAAATAACAGAATGGATATAGATTTACCCCATCTGCTGAAGTCACACAAAGAAAATAATTTCATCACAGGCTGCGACGGTGTGGAAAAATCGGCAATCTCTAAAGCAGATTTGTTTCCAAATGAGAACCTGCCAGATCAGCAGACTTGGTTCCCTAACAAGAAAATCTGTAACCTTGAGTCCAGTCTGGGCCTTTGTGGAACTGTGCACCCTCCACAGTTAGAACACACTTGGATCTTTTAGTATTAAATACATAGAAGATGCAGGCTCCCCTCTCTGATTCATGATTACAGTGGAAACTGCGAAGTTAGCATTTCATTTCAGAAATCAAATTTACTTTTGAAAGCACAACTAAGCACTGTAGAAATACTGACCTCTAGAACTATCTTTGTAGCTGAATGGGGTAATTTATTCAAGAGGTTAGGAATGTAAAGAGAATGTAGAGTCCTGGGTGACCAGTTTATTAGAAAATTACTCTAGAAGGCATTAGAGAATGTTTTAAGCTGCTTACAATATTTTTAGGAACTAGGATGAAAGATGCTATTTGTGTGCAAAATAATCCCTTATGGGATTATGATTTTATTCTTAAACCTCACGTTTATATAATGACATCTTGTAACCAGCTGCTCTTATCCATCTGGCAACTCAAAGATTTCCTTTTTGTTTCTTTGATATAGAAATTACCTACCATTAGGTCTGCCACTGGGCCTGTTTAATTGGTATTAAAAGAAACACCTCCTTTGCCAGATCTGCTGTGGGTTTTGGTGGAAGCTGTGAATGACCAGCAAATCTCTGCCCTGAAGTTGCAGAGAGAATGCAATTACCTTTCTGTGTTCTCTAGAGGCTTCAGGGACTCAACTTCTGAAAAGGATAACTAGCTCGTTGCTATTTCATGTGTGAAATTTTAATGAATTACTGGCAGTCTAGTGGTTTTCCTTTAAAAAAAAAAAAAAAAAACCCAAAATCCTGTTTTAGAATTTTTAACTAATATCCCTAACAAGAATTTTTGATTAGTCGGTCATTCTTATTCATTGCAATTGATGGATTTCTACTTTTTATAGAAATGTTATTTATGCCTTCTGGGAGTTTTCATTTTATAATTAAAATGCACTGCAAACCTTACAGGTATGCTCCAAGTGAATGCTCCTGTGTACACACAAATCTTTTTAGTCCTTAAAGATAATTACATCCGACACTAGGAAATGCCAGTATGCTTATTTAAAAAAAGGTTCCTAGTGGGGGAGAGGGGGGTGGCTTTCATTCTAGAAAATCAGATGCTGTACAATATTACAAGCACTTTCCTATAGACAGCAGATATAAGCCTCAGGAGATAAATTAAAAGAAATTTTAAAATAGATGCTAATTTCCATTTGGTGGTCCTTTTCTCATTCTTCCACCACAGGTTTTAGGATGCATTTCTCCAGGGGTTGTTTGCAGCTGTCTTCCTCGTTACATCAGTTATTCCGTGATCACCTTGTGGGGGCTTCTCTGGAGACTCAGTCCACTGCAGTGCAGGGAATATTCTCGATTAACGTGGTGAGATTGCCATGGAGACAGATTGCTTAGTGTCAGGTCTTGCATAGTTTTGGGAATTTACAATCCCCAGACGTGTTTGTGAACTGGACAGTGTAGTTACCAGGGACGCTTCTGGAAGTCATTTTCTCGGTCCTTTGAAGGACAGTGGTATTTGGAAAACTAGCCCTTGGTTTCCTCTCTGAGCAGGAACGGTGCTCTCCCACAGATGCCTGCTGCTTTTGTTTCTGCGTGGTGCTGCTTTGTTCTTCTAGTCCTGAACGGCTGCTGCAAAAAATAATCCCTACTGCTTGACCTTTAGAATAGAAACTGGCAAGAGCTGGTTGTTTAGATGTCGCTTTGTGGGTGACTTGTTGATGCTTTGATTCAGAGAATTCTTCAAAAGAAAAAGGAAAGTCCATTACAGGTTTTATATATTGTTTTAATAATAATAAAAATAAACCCGAAAGGAAATCTCATGGCCGGATGGTGCTTTACATTTTTACTTTTAGAACTGATTTCCAACCATTATGCTATTATGAAGACCTCAGAAACACTAATTTCAGAATAAGTAAAAATGACATCTTTTCTGTAGAGTTTTTTTTAAGAAGTGGACAGTTTGTTAGGAAGAGGCAGGAATAATAGATGGACTTTACATAATAACGTCTTTTGTGTTTTCTACCTATGCTATTTTAGTTAAGCTTTAGAATAACTCTGTGTTAGAGCCATTATTTTTTTTCCTCTCATTTACAAAATAGCAAATCAAGAGACTAATCAGAAGGTGGGCATGTGATTAATGAGATGTTAAAAGTGCAGCATAGCTTGGCATCTGCCCTGGAGTACTGGAGATGTGTGTGCACGCTGTGGTCACTTGCAGGATGCCACCTAGCAGAGCTGGCTAACTCGCTGGACCCCTAGAATTTGTGATGCTGTAATTGCTCAGTCGGAGGAAAGGGCAGCTGCACAGGGGTCAGGTCTGTGACTTTTTTCCGGGTAGGTCACTTGCCTCTGTAAAATGGGGTTCACCCCTGACTCCTCCCTGCCCAGATGAATCAAAGCATCTTTAGCTCATCCAGGCTTGTGATACTACAGCCTCTCTGGCCATTTGGAATCAAAGAACACAGGGAATAGGACATTTTGTATCTTACCTTTGCACTGGGGTTGAGTTGGCTTATGGGTAATAGAACCACATTCGGGTTGAGTTCTGTTCCAGGCCCTTTAAGAATTTCACCTTTATCGTGCTTTAGCTGGAAGATTAAAATTCACATTGTATTGCCCTGCTTAGAAATTGCAGAAGCTAGAATTGAAAAACTAGAGATAGTCATGATCCAAGTTGGGGATGGACATCTCTCAGCATTAGTGGTGCATTTCTCTGGTGAGGAACTGGAATTGGAACAGGTGAGGAAGGACTTTCAAGTTTTAGTATATATTCTATGGTTAGAAAAAAAAATATATATATATGTATTTTCAATTCTTAGGGTCTAGATTACAGGACTGCTTTTATAGCTTGTGGATTTAGCAGGCTGTAGAGAATATAGATTCTTTAGTTGGATGAAAGCCAGTCTGCACACAAAGGTCATTGATAGATGTTTTAAAGCAGGAATTTGAACTGAATGAAATATTGATTTGGTTCAGGTTCAGTTCAGAGGCTACTCTGATATTCTGCTTTTGTTTCAGGTCAATAATTTTATAAAAAGACAGGTACAGTATAGCCTTGCTGAGCTTTAGAAGGAAAAAAGGTTGGTTCTGTTTTGCATTTAGCCAAATAATAACTCTACATTTTGTTTATTCCAAGTTGCTGCTTCAAAAGGAACTGAAGTGGTATAAAAGTGAAGTCATCGGGTATTAATTTTAATTATTTGACACGGAGGCCCACCAACACCATTTAATGATTATCCAGCAAGATAATGGAATCTTAAGCAGCAAAGCTGACCCATCATAAGTGTTTTGTTTATGTTGAGATAATTGTATACAGTGTTCAAGTGGGTTCCCTGAGGCACGATAGATTCTGTTAAGGAAGCCATGGATTAGCATCCCAGTTCTGTTTTGTTTTGTTTTGAGAAAAATCCCTCTGGTTGAGGGTAGTTTTTCCCAGGGAATTTCCACAACATGCTTTTTATGGGCTGAGAACTGAAATGAGGCTTGGAACATTACAGACACTCACTGATTATAGCAAACTAAGTGTGAAGTTGATGGTAAACACTGTAATGGGAAAGTATGCCTGGTTTGGGTTTGTGTTCCAAGAAGATATTTGAGAGACTCCATTGGGCCATGTGGGTCTCATTGAATCCTTTTTGTGTACCTCTTGTTTTTACAAGGTGATTTTCTTGTTGGGGATAGCCATTGGCCAGCTTGAGAATGTCATTTTTCCCCTCAGTTTGCTTTGTCAAGTTTGGTAATTCTTCCTTCGAAGGCCCCAAGGAATACTGCTCTTCGGGCTGAGAAGTGGCTATGTAGACTCTACATGATATTCTGGGTTGGCTGCTTTTGTTTTCCTGGATCTACCTGACATCACAGAAAATTATTCTATTTGAACTCTCCCACTGAACCAATTAATTCTGACTTCCTGGGGGAGAGGGTGTTAGTGGAGCTTGTGTTTGTGTAGTGTCAGGTAGTCTAGGTTACCGTGGCTTTTTGCTTCAGATTCAGAGACTCTTAGATTCAGAGACTTTGGGCCCCACAGTGGTGAATTGGTTCATTTATTTAACTGTTCCTTATTAACTAATTGGTAACATAATTAATTGGTGATTAGGATGTCTCAGAGGTTTGCTTCCCTTTGAATCAATCTCTAGAGGGACTATGATTCTAGTCAAACCCCAGCATATTCCTTAACAAAAGGAAAGTGTGCAAACAAACCAGGGTATCACTGCAAGTTGGGTTAGTTAAGAGCTTTTGTGGTTGACAGAACAGGTTACTTAATGAGGAGAGGAAGATTGTAGTCCTCTTCTTCCTTAGACAATGTTAGTCCATTAACTACACCCTTTCTTATCAAATAAAAAGAACACTGTGTAATAGCTCTTTATTATAGCATCCTGTGTGTATTTTTTACGGGAGTGACTTTTTGGAACTTTTTCTGGAGGGATTGCATGCTGAATTTATCCAATACTCAATTCTTTTCCACTGTGCTTTACAGGAGAAGCTGTGCCTGAAGATGAACAGATCAGTGCTAAGGACCAGAAGACCCTGGAGCCCTGTGATAATACCCCCATCATAGACAATATCACTCCTGTTGTTGCGGGCATCTCTGCAGAGGAGAAGGAGAAGTATGATGAGGAAATCTCCTGTCTCTACAGGCAATTGGATGATAAGGTCTGTGAACAGAGATGTGTCATACTCTCTCTAGTACAAAGGCAAAGGTGGCTGTCCCCACACCTGTAGGCTAGAAGCCGTTTTACACCCACTGGAACTGATGGAGGGCGACTGACGGATGTGTATTACTACCTTCTTGTTACCTACCCTCGCTCTTGATTGGGCCGACTCAGGAAAGCTTGATTTCATGTGGAATGGAAGTTTTCATGGAAATTGGATTGGCAGAGTGGGATATTGACCTGAATAGATAGCCAGGTGCTATTTAGAGTCTTTACCACTAGAAGTTGGAATAGGTGTGTGTGTCCATGGTCTTTGTGTTTAATTCTCTTTCTCTAGTCTATCAGTCATCTTTGGTAACTCCAACAATAATCCTAGCTATTTGGGTGAGGGTGATGGCTTCCAGTACTCAAGTGTGCTTTAATTATGTAGCTCCAAGGCTTCAGGACGAGGAACCGGTAGTAGTGGCATATGGTCTGGCAGCGCCTACTCTTGAATGGAGTAGTTTGAACATGCTGTGGAGGTTCAATTTTCTGGCATACATAGGACTCAAATAGTCATGTCAACAGACAAGTTAGAATAAAGGGCAGGAGAGACCTTGGAGAACACTATATCATTCATTCCCCCATCAAGGTCCAGTTAGGAATCCCATATGCATAGGAAATTAAATTGCTGTTTCACATGGTCTTGGCAGCTTGCCCTTGGAATATTTTAAATCCTTTCTGTTCATTCTATCAGGGTTGCTGTAGTTTTAGTCTGATTTAATTTTTTTTCTGTTGTGGTTCAGCTCAGTGCTTGGGGACACTTCTGGCATGGATAAAACAGCTTTGTTATGTTAACACCACCATTAATCTTACTGGCTTCTCTCCTCTGAATAAAACTCAGTCTGGCATCACCTTTACAAGTGAAATGTGACTGGTTGCCTTAAGGTACTTAGTTCTGTGTTTGTAGTTACAAACTTGTAAACAAACTATGTTTGTCCTTGTTAGTTTGCATTATAACCACAGCATTAACTGAGGTCAGCCTTCCCTCCTGGTAACATAGTTAATTAAATATTCACGTTCAGGAGATCTGGGTTAATTGCCCATTCATTAGGCACTTAACATACCCTTCTGTTTTATCCAGGTATTTTATGCAAAATTTCAAACAAAGAGGAAAAAAGGAGAGTAATAATAAGTTAACTGTATCAAATTTGTGATTTCTCCAAAGAAATGCTATTATTTAAACATACTGCTATTTCCCCCGTCCATTTTCGAACTGATGAGTTCATTTTTAGTAATCCTTAGAGAGTCCTGGATGGGGGCAATAATCTGATACTATACTCCATTATGTATGAATAGACACCTGTCATGATTGGTGGGATTTGGAATCATTTATCTTGGTGGCACATGGTGCTGTCAGTGAGTTGAGACCTTAAAAGAGTCTTGGATCACTCTTCCCGATGACGACTGAGCTCAGAATGATGAAAATGCCATGTCTTGGGGGTTTTACTTAGTACCTGGCAGAGCTGACCCCTAGAGTCTCTGATTCTTGATGTTCAGCATGTGACATTTTCTATCACATCGTTTCCCTTCAGCATATGCCTTGAAAACCCTGTAAAGCACACATTTTGAGGTAAGCATTTGTGCTTTGTTACAGGGTGATGCCTAGAGATCTATGAGAACCAGGCCAAAACTTCTGCCTTAGGAGGCACCGAAGTTGGTAGTTTGGCCTTTGTAACTCTTCCTATGGACTGCCTGATAATATCTTAATAGTTGTCATTCTTATTTTTCCTTCTAAGTTCTAGAAGGTTCTAGCAGGAATTTCATGCTTCTGATATAGATGGCATGATACTTTTGAGAACAATGAGTTGATACATGGCAGCTTCAGAGATTGAGTGGTCAGAGCTGAAATTATCTAGGTCTAGCTGAGAAACTAGCCCAGGGTGGTTACCTGACTTCCCACGTTGACATTACACACCTATGGAGGCAGAGGAGAAATGAGGCTACACATCTTTTGATGCCCAGTCTAGTGTTCACCCATGGCCTTAGCCCTCTAAATGAGGAACTCATCAGCTCCTGTGAGTCTGTTTAGGAAGTGGTGGGAGGAAGATTAACTACATGGTCTCTCCCAGTTACCCCTTCTGTCCCTCTGTGTTGCCCCTTCAGGGATCTGAGGACAGGTACTCTCTCACTGCAGAGCCATGTGGTGGGAAAGCAGGCATTTTAGAGTCAGCCCAATGACTTCATAATGCTGAGAACTGGCCTGATGACTCAACGCCATTGATATTTTTCTCATCTATAATATGGGGCTCACATTTGTTATTTCAAAAACTTGCAATGGAGCTTAATAGTTTCTAGTTCATGGCAGATGATCAATCAGTATGAGTTTCTTTCCTGAATTTTCTCTGGGTCCTGTTTTCTGAAGGAGAAGCCACATGTGGCATAAGAGGGGTGATGGTGCAGAGGTGGCGTGAAAGCAGAGCTCTATAAGATAAGCAAATCAGTTCTGGCACTGTCTTTCTCATTCCCCGTCACCTCTCCCATACTAATGCACTACTTGAGATAGATGAGAGGAATTCAGTGTAAGTAAAAATATAAGTGGAACCTTATTTTGCTGATTGACATTGCAGCCAAAACGTCTTTACCATCAAAAGTGACCAGCAGCTCTGTTAACCATCAGCCCATTTCATGTCTCAGAAAATCCAAGTACAAGGAGAGTTTCTAAAATGTCTTGAAGACCATTATCCATAGACAAGAACACGACAGCTCAAGCATAAGCATGCACGTATTCTGAGAGATTTACTTGGATATACATTAGATCTAGTTTGCTCAGTAAATCTCTTTCTGAAAATTTGAAAAATTTTTGAAAGTCACCATATTCTATCCTACATTCACCTTAGTAAGGAGAATTCACCTTAGTAAGGAGTAAGTGTAGATTTGGACATGTGTCTGGACAAGTGATTCATGTCCTTACAATGTAATCCTTGTTCTTCATCTTTCCCAGATAGGGCTAGGGTCCCTTGGTTTCTCAGTGTACCTTAAAAAACCACTGCACCCCAGCTTGTCACCTCTCAGGGAAGAGGCTTGTGTTTTCAGGCTTTGAATGAACAGTGTTAAGGACAGAGTATAAGGACAAAGTGCCGGCGCTGTCTATGATTTATATCACTTTGAGCAATTGCTCATATGTCCTGGGGGAATAGATGGCAGCTCCCGGATGTTGAACTCCTTGGGACTTTTATGTTAAGTTGTTTAATATTTATGTGCCAAGGAGCATAAAATACAAAATTGTGTTTGGTAACTGGCGTTCTAAGTTTACAAAGTAGATAAGAAAATGTGGCCTACAGAATAGTTGAAGACTGTATTTTGGCAGTTTCACTCTGCTGTAATTTCCCTCATTCTCCTGCCAGAAATCTGACTTCGGAAGTAAAGTCTTGAGTATTTTGTAGAACCATTCAAGAAGCATTGGTGTAGAATTTCAGTAGAAATGGGATCTCCTTGATAACAGAAGGCCAAGGGTTTTTCTACACAAAGGAAAAGGAGATAAGGGCTGTAACCATGATTCTAGAATTTTCATGCTCCATAGAAAACTTTAGTTGTGACACTGAGTTAATCTGATTTAAATGTGTGCATAGACTAGACCACACAGGCTGGAGAATATCCCGTAGAAAACTGTAACTCAGGTCCATGAGTTTATTTACCCCTCTTATACCTTACCTCTGGGAGAAGCACAAAGCACAGCACAGGTTTCTTAGGGCAGCTGCTGAAAACACCTGGGCAGCACCTGGCACAAAGAGCAACCTATTGGCACTAAGTGAAGCTGACTCTGCTTAAGGTTTGAACCCGGAAAGTATCATCAGATCAGATTTTCTCATATTTCAAGGCACAGGCATGTGATGTCAAGTTGTCATTCTTCACAGGCTCTTCTTTGAAATTGCATTTGAATTGATGGAAATCTTTGTGGTGAAGCCTGAGTCTCGTGGTTAGGCATTGTCTGCCTGCTGCTTTTCCTGCACTGGTGTGGAGTGTCTGGGGCCAGGCAGAGGCCTTTGCACCGGGCAGTGGGAGGCAGGAAGCTCTGGCTTTTGTGCCAGCTACACCTAGTGGCAGACAATGAGAATGGAGAGAACCAATCTGGCCATGGGAGGGTCCGCATTAACGTAAGAATTAACGTTTCTGCATCCATGGCTTCCTTGACTTTTTTTTCCTTTTCCTAAATTGGTCAGGAAATGAACCTTTAATTAAGGGGGAGATCTGCTAATACCAAAGATTAATTCTGTAGTAAATATTTTCCCAAGCTACTCTAAGTAGGAGTTTTGAAGTGGAAATACTAGTCTCTCCTACCTATCATGTGATAGCATTCCTGGTCACTGAGGTGTTGGACAAGATTTGGGACCTGAATATATTATGGTGCAAATTGTTAGAAATTCACTCCCTTACTTTTTGAACTAGGAAGTCAATGCTAATATCTTTGAATTGGGAGGGCTACCCCAACGTTATCTTTCATTTCCCAAGCCCAAGATGTCTGATTTCCATACGAGTAGAAGCTGGGCTGAATGTGTAGGAAATTTGTTTCCCAGAATATCAAGATATTTCATCTTCTGAGAAAAGGTGGGTGAAGATTTTAACCCAATCAGCATCTCAGAACAGTCTCCTTTCTGTGGGACAATACCACACCATTCTGTTCATCTTATTAGCTGCTCACAGCTGGCATCCTCGTATCTGACTGTCATTGGAAAACCAGGATATCAAGAATGACATAACTAACCAAAAAAGTTAAACATGATGTTTCGTTTCAGGATGATGAAATTAACCAGCAGAGCCAGCTGGCTGAGAAACTAAAGCAACAGATGTTGGATCAGGATGAGGTAAAGAATGCAATGAAAAATTCTTTTGCAAAATTCTCTTATTACTACGCTTTGTTGTTGTTTGTTTTAGAAATTTAATTTGGAAAGAATTTTTCCAAAATCACTGAATCATGTGGAAATTTCTTGGTATTTTTTTCTCCTTGTAATGCCTACTAAAGTCTGATTTTAGCTTAACTTGGGAAACAACCCTCTCATTTTGTAGTGCTCTGGGGTTTGGTTGCTGTATTTAGTCTTGCATGAACTCGGGTAAAGGAGCTCTGTACCTGGGAAGAAGTCGACTCCTCCTGCCCCAGGCTCAGCTCTCGTTTCCTGTCATTTTAGCCTTTTTTGACTTTGCATTTCACCCAGTCTGATCTTACACATTATGTTCTTAGAAACAGAGGAGGGGTAAGCAAAGAGGACGGAGGTCCAAGTATTGAGTTAGTATATAGTGATACAGTAAAAAGGAGGCAAATTGTTTCAGTCTCATCCCAGATGGCATTCAATTCCCCAGTAAATGTCTTTATCACCTTGTGTTCTGCCAAGTATTTTACAAACAGGAACCTCTAAGCAAAGGACAGACAACCAATCTATCAAAAATAGATGACTGGTAAATCTCTTACTGAGGCCCATCTAAGTATTTTTCCTCTTTCTTGCTTTAGGGTGCTTTTTGTTTTGTTCCTAAAATGTGATGGATTGGGTGGTGTGATGCAATTGTAGCAGGTTCCCTGGGTTCATGCCCCCAGTTCCAGCCCCCTCACCCCACGAAGACTCTGTAACCATTTCCTTCCCTCTTTGTTCCCCTTCCTCTCTCCAGGGCAGTGAGTATGCCCCCATCCAAACACCTCCCCAGGCAGGGAGATCATCTATGCCTTTGCAATCAGATGAATCATGTTTGCTTTCTCTTTCAATTATAGTGGAGTCTTGTATTTGTTTAGTGTTCCTGCCCTCCTCAGTCAATCCTTTTGTGTCTCCAAGTTGGTACAACTGTCTGTGATAACTTTCCTTTTTGTTAGTTAAAACTGAAATTTACTTTATTATCAAGGCAATATGCATTTATTGTTGGAAAATCAGAAAGTAGAACACACACAAAGAAAATGAAAGCATTTATAAACCCACATATTTATTTTTAACTATTATTGTTGTTTAGGATCTGTCTATATGTACATGATAAATATAAAGATAGTGAACACTGTCTTTTTATACTCTTTCATTTGACTATGAAATTGACTTTTATATAATGTGATATTAAACATAATGTGAATATTAAAAGCCCCCTAAATAGTATTCTAGTCCTTGCAAATGATCCTTAGTTCAACATGTGAACTAGCCAGCTGGCTTAAAAATGCAATAATATTTTGATGCGTAGTAGTCAGTTCTTTGAGTTAAGCCTATGTAACTCTAAATTGCAAGAGAAAAAAAATTTTTGAAATGATAACATTCTATTTAAAATTTAGCATCTGGACCACAGTGGGGTTTAAATTATTCTGAGCTTTTCCAGCTTGTTTTGTCTATTTTTTTAAAGGACTTTATTTTGGATAGAACACAGAATATAGACATTGACCATTAGTCACTAGTTCATGCCATGTCATTTCTCCAGCTTTTAGCTTCCACGAGAAGAGACTATGAGAAAATCCAGGAGGAGCTGACACGTCTCCAAATTGAAAATGAGGCAGCCAAAGATGAAGTAAAGGAAGTCCTCCAGGCCCTGGAAGAATTGGCTGTCAATTATGATCAGAAGTCACAGGAGGTGGAGGATAAAACCAGGGCCAATGAGCAGCTGACGGATGAACTGGCCCAGAAAACGGTTGGAACATGATTGTCTAGGGGATGGGACTTTACTTTATATAATGTATGTTGACAGGCACGATATAGTAAGGCAGTTGCCTGAATGGTTTTTCAGTGTTAGATTTAGATGCAGTCTCTGAGCTCCCTCCAATAATGGCAGTACTTTGTGTAAGTGACTTTTGTCCAACTCATTCTAAAACTGCATATCACAACTGTTTATGTCCAGGAGATTTATAACACCAGCAGGAGCACCTTATGCATTAGTCAAGAAAGTGCAGACTTTGGAACCAGAAAAGTCTAGTTAAAAATGTAACATGACAACTATTAGGTCTTAATTTAGACATTTCATTGTTTACCTATCTGTAAAAATGGTGATAATAACATGCTACTTTCAGGGTTATGAGAATTATGACATTTTATCCAAAACTCTTAGCATACAGCTAGGGCCTTTGCATGTGTTATGATAGCAATACATCTCAAAATGTTAATTCAACAGGCAGGATTGGGTGACCCATGGAATCTATGTTTTTCACTTTTACTCACACCTTCCTGAATAAAATCCATTTCTTCCACACAGCTTTTTGTCTTAGCCTAGGACTGAGCCATCCTGATTTAAACCAGTTGTCATGGTTTAGGCCAGCGCTTCAGTTTACCCATTTATTAACTTCCCAGAGAAAGATTCTGAGGGCCCCACACAGAGTTTGTGGCAGCAGGGCCAGCAAGCATTTGGTGAGATGCCTGGTGGTGGGATGTATCCATTTTGTCCTTTTCTACTTGGAAAATGGATGGTGGGAGCTGAGTGTCTGTAACTGCCTGCCCTTGGAACGTTGGTTCAATGGCCTGGTGTCATGGGATTATGCCCAGCCTGTTTTGTGGAAAACATCCAGTCCTCCTGGCCAAGGAGAAATAGCAGATGGTGCAGAGAAGCTCTGATCTGCTGACCATAGAGCTGATGGGAAATGCTCTTCAGTCCACACATTTACTTGCATGCCATTGGGGAGACTCTTTAAATGGCTTCCCAAGCTGGGAACCACTGTTTCTGTGGGTTTTAGAAGCAAAATGAAATCAGCAGCAATGCCAAAACCCAGAACAAACACATGGAAAAACAAAGCAGAAGTCATGTAGGAAAGAGAAGAGTTGGATCTTCTGCTTGCTGTTTTCTTTCTTTCTTTTTTTTTTAAAGATTGATTTATTTATTTATACAAGCACTGGGTACAGTCAGAAGCACGGGAGGGTGAGAGAATTCACCAGAGCCAGAGCGGGGAGCAGAACAGACAGACCGACGAAATACACTGCTGAGGGGAGCAGCGGGTGCGACAGGAGAGGTCTGCGTGCCATGTGGGACCCTCGCCGGCAGCCGGGGATCAAACTGGCGCTGCAGAGGCTGTGGGCAGCTTCTCAGCCCAGCGCTCAACCACTGCGCCACCACGGGAGGCCCGTGCTTGCTATTTTCTACAGGATTGTTTTAGCTAGTCTTTGGTATTATTTGTTCCTCAAGACAATGAAACATTTTCCATAATGGAGTTCTCATTTTCAGTCAAACCAAAGTACTAGGCATGTTCAGAGTACTATTTTTAGTCAGATCGTTAAAAAGAATTCTAGTAAAATAGCTGCATATGGAAGAATTGCATAAATGTCTTTGCATTTACCTCTACAGCTCCATAATTGAGGGGAATTATTTTCTTTGCTGATTGAATTAATACCAAGACATCAAAGAATGGCTATTCTATCAGTATAGAGAATTTAAGTTCGTTAAATATATATAAGTGTATAATATATGTATATTTGTACACACACACACACACACACACACAGTTTGTTAACAAACTTTTTGGTTATAACATACACCAGGGATGGAAGTGAAACTGGTTTGCTAATGTTTGGCAATAAAATGGAGCTTTTGCTTTAGAGTAAGAAACCATCTCCTCTTGAACTTCACTAATTTTGAAAAGAGATGAATAGTGTCTGATTTAGTTTTACTGTGAAGATTATAAGACATTTTCTAAGCTCATTAATGTCCCTTTGGGCATTCCAGACCCATCTATTATTGGGAAGTCAGATGGGAATTTGGAAGTTGTCCAAGGAGCAGCTTTGTTTGGGAATGGAGGTGGGAACGCTTGCAGGTATGTTTAGACCCAGGAGAATGAGGACTGAAATGTAACATCTGGTAGGTAGGAGGATGTGATTAAACATTATCAACCTAAGCACTTCCTTCAGGCTTTATTTATTTCTAATAAAACAAACCTAATTTGCTGACCTGGAATTTGTCATCTGATATGCATATCAGGTCAAGATAAAATCCTCCTCTGACATTGCTGTGCCATGATTTAGTTTGCTTTAAAAGGACTTATGTTGAAATGATACAAAATTCTTTACTACATTATGTTGTTATATGCAAGACTGCATGTCTAAAATTGATGGGTAACCCTTTTAATTTATTGTTGAAATGTGTTTTTCAGACGACTTTGACAACCACACAGCGAGAGCTGAACCAGCTACAAGAGCTTAGCAACCACCAGAAAAAGAGGGCCACCGAGATCCTGAATTTGCTATTGAAGGATCTCGGGGAGATAGGTGGAATTATTGGCACCAATGACGTGAAAACTGTAAGCCAGCCTTTCTTTATTCCTCTCTATAGGCCCTTATCATGGTGTTATCATAAGTTTGTCAGGGTCTGTGTTTTATTTTTCCAGGTGTCCAATGCTAATTTAGCACAGTTCTTTGCATCTGCTGTGTCCTATATTTGAATGACTGAACAAAGAGCTGATTGAATGACTTAGTGAATGATGTTTTGGTTAAGGAGCAGGAGAAAAAGGTACCTTTCAAAAATAGGAAATGTCTTCAAATCTTGATTGACCTTATGTAAATTGGTTTATTTCTCAAATTTGTATGCTGTGGGTTAAACAACAGTTCCAGACTCAGAAATTGTGTTCATTGTGTTCTATGAGAATCCAACAGTGTGAAAATTCCCTAACCAATCAGTATGAATTAGGAAAGCTTTCAGCCGAAAGTAATAGGATTCTAATAGTGAATTAAAAAATAAAGCCACATTTAATTATTCACAATATGAGGAATCTAGGATCTTCTATTTAGACTGCTATTTGTATCACCTTGGAGCCTGTTGAAAATAACACATCTGAGCCACTCCTCAGACCTACTTAATCAGAATCTGCATTTTAATAGCATTCCTAGGCGATTCTTATCCTTACTAAAGTTTTAGAAGCAAATTTTAGTTTGGTGCTATGTGTCAGTAATGTTAAGGATCCAGGCTTTTCTCTACTGCCTTTCTGTTTTCCTCACTTAGCCCCTTCCCTTTTCATATGGGTAGATTTTTGCCACATGGTTGCGAGGTAGCTGCCATAGCACTGATCACATCCTGACACAGTCACATTCACGACAGGAGGGGCTGAAAAGGCAGCTGTTTCCATTCAGTGGGAAGCTATATTCCAGAAGATCCCAGTTGATGTTCCTTTACTGGTCAGAATGGGGTCATTTGGTCACCCCAGAATGCAATGGAAACTCAGAACGCAAAGAGAAATAGGATTATTATAATTGACTAAACCAACCATGAATAAGCCACTGAAATTGTGTACATCGGTGCCGTTGATAACAAGGAAGTAAGGGAGATAGGGAGAATGTAGTATAATGCTGTCCATGAGCCAGGGAGAGAGAGAAAAGGCAGCATCAGCATTGTTATCCCCTATGAACAAGCAACAATTTGCTACCACAGAGAGGTTTTTGAAAAATTAGCGACTTTTGAAGCAAATAGCTTTATGAGGTGTCATTGACATAACATAGGATTTGAGAAATTTTGACTTCAATATTTTGCTACACTCATGAAAGTGTCTCCATAGTGAGAGGAACACATCCTTTACCTCCGGAAATGTGTGGAACTGCTTCTGGCCTTTCTGTTCTGTTGCATTAATTTAATCTTTATGCCAGCACTGTTCCTTTAATTGCTGTAGCTTCATAATAATATTCTGAAACATTGAGAAATGTGTGTTGGTTTTAGCAAACTTGGAAATGCTTTTGTATTGCTCAACTTCCACCTCAGAAGTCCCTAAAATGAAATTTTTGAGTTTAGCCATTAGGCTTACAAAAGGGTGAATTCTACATCAGTCTGCTTTATTGGAGCACTCAGCCTTGCCATTGAGATTGTTAAATGCCAGAGAAGATTCTTCAAATTGCTTCTGTTTATAGACATTTCTGGAAAACATAGAAAGCCCTTCTTGGATAGCGTAATAGCTCCAGGCTTAGCATATATGACCTCTTATAAACCTTATCATTCTTTCATGGGACCTCTATTGTAACTGAATATTTCATGAATCTTTGCAAATGATTTTAATTTTAGCATTAAATTCTTGGTTAGTGTAAGATTAACCCTATAATGTTCCAGTTTGGTGATTGTATATTTGAGGATTGTTTAGTAGCATACATTGGTGTTGAGCTATAAGCTTCTGACATTGTTTGATTAGATGGCCCTCATGATGTGAAAGTGGTGTTGATTTATGGGAGTTGGTGCCTGCTGATAATGATAAAGGAAGATATTTTTATGCTGAGTTCTAAAATAGAACTGATGAAAAATGCTAATGAAATCAAGGAGTGTCTGGGTGCCTGGCATTAAAAGAGTCTTTTCCTTTGGGAATCTGAAGTATGATTGAGATTATTTTTAAATACTCAACTGGATATTTTAAAGATATTTTTGGATTCCAGACATTGGATGTCCTAGTTAACTTCGTTGATAACCTGTTAATTTCATTGATATCTCTCACTTATAGAGCATTATATTCTTAATGGTTCTGTGTTCCTCCCCTCCCCCCTCCTCCGCCCCCTAATTATGACTTAATCATCAGGGCAGTGAGAGCTTAAGGGAGGAATTATGTGACTTTGGGCAGTCACATTTCTGGGCTTCATTTTCATAATTTGCAAAGTGATAAGGTGCATCCAGGATTATCATGAAGGTTGACAACTGAATAATTTCTTAGTTCAGTCATTATGGGCACAAATACTTCCCACTTACTCTGCCTTATTGAGATACAACTGACATACCTATTGTGTACATTTAAGGTGTGTTGATTTGGTTCATGTCATGCATTGCAAAATGATGACCACAATGCTGTTAAGGCCCACTTCTCTCATGTCACATTGTTACTATTTCATTTTTGTGGTAAGAACATTTAAGATGTTTTCTATTAGCAACATTCAAGTAGATAATAAATATTTTAGCTATAATCCCCATGCCGTTCATTAGATCCCCACTTTTGTTAACCTTATATCTGAAAGTTACTACCCTTTGATTATCTCTCTATTTCCCCACCTCCCCAATCCCTGGTAACCACCTCTGTTTCTCTCAATTTGCCTCCTTTAGAGTCTACATATAAGTGATAATCATACAGTGCTGTAGCAACCCCCCACCCCATGCACCTGCTATTTCACTTTTCATAGTTTCAGTTACCCATGATCAACTGCAATTGAAAAACACTAGACACAATAAAATATATTGAGAAGGGGGAAGGGGAGACCACATTTACATAAATTTTATTATAATATCTTGTAATTGTTCTATTTTATTATTAGTTATTGTTAGTCTCTTACTGTGCTCAATTAAATTTTTTCATAGGTATGTTTTTATAATATAAAAAATAATACATAAAGGATTGGGTACTAGTTTTGGCTTCATATGTCCATTGCAGGTCTTGGATTGTATCCCCCATGGTTCCAATTTTAGTTTATGTGCTGCATGAGTAAGCACAATAAATGTATCCCCCATGAATGAAGGGGGCTACAGTATTTACAGTGGTAGGATTTCCTTCTTTTTCATGACTGAATAATATTCCACCATATGTAACACACTTATGTTATATATGTGTGTATATATACACACACATGCACTTTAAAATGTATGATATTCCATTTTACACACACACATACACACACACCATTTTCTTTATCCATTCATCCACTGACACACTTAGGCTAGGTTGCTTTCATGTCTTGAGATCCTGATTTCAGTTGCTTTGGTTATATACTCAGAAAACGTTTTTACTAGATCATGTGGTAATTCTACTTCTAATTTTTTTTTAAGAAGCTTCTATATTGTTTTCCATTGTGGTCAGACCAATTCACATCCCTACCAACAGTATACAGGTTCCCCTTTCTCCACAATCTCTCCAGTACTTAATCTTTCATTTTTTTGAAGATGACCTTTGTAGCAGGTATGAGGTGAAATGTCACTGTGACTATGATGATTTGTGAAGTCAAGTACCTTTTCATGCACCTATTGACCATTTCTGTCTTTCTTGGAAAATTATTCAGTTCCTCTGCCCCATCTTAAAATTTGGTTCTTAGGGTTTTTTTTTTTTTTTTTTTTTGGAATTCTTTGAGTTCTTTATATACTTTGAACATTAATCCCTTGCCAGTTACATAACTTGCAAATATTTTCTCCCATTTCATAGGTTGCCCTTTTATTTTGTCTATTATTTCTTTTGCTATGTGGCAGCATTTAGTTTAATGTAGTTCCACTTATTATAGATAATTTTTTGTTGGTTATGATTATTTGATCGATATCACTCTTTATGTAAGAAAATGAGCAAATCTTGTAAACCTTTTCAATCATTTTATATTTTTGTTCCTAAAACTCTTTTCAGTTCCCACAAGGTCCTCCTGGTAATCTTCTGGGGTGAGGGATAAAGGTAACTTTTGCAGTCTTCCTCAGTCCTTACTTCCAAATCCGACATACCTGAACAGCAAGGAAACAAGTGAATTCATATTTCTCCAGCTCTATTATATCTCGAAACATTTTCAAGTGTCCAGGCAGTATTTTGTTTAGTCAGCAAAACAAGATGAAATCAGGAAATGACATGATGCACTTAGTGGGGACTTATCCAGGTTTATTAGTGAGCTCCCTCCTCTCTTTCATGTTCCTTAACACAAAGACTTGCAGGAATGTAGCCACAAAATGAAGAGAAATTGAGGTAGAGTAAATGGAACGTGTTGGTTATGATACCTATTCTTCTTTTCCTGCCATTCTTTCTTTCTTTGTTCCCATTCTGACTTTCAGGTCTTAGAATGTGAAGTCACCTTACTTGGCCTAGAAATAGCACCTTGCACAGCCACTTCATGCTCTAGAGACTTGAAGCTGAGGCCTCCTCTGTGGGCTGGGAGAAGGCGAAGGCAGACTTTTCTCCTGGATTAGTATTTGTACCGGCTCACACCGTCCAGAGCACTGTTAGAGTCATTATCAGACCCCAGGGAGAGTTATAAATAACATTTCAGCAACAAGCTCCAATTCTTCTCTTTGAAATAACAGTATACTGGAATTACTGAAAGCTTTGAACTTAAATGACTACATATATGAACTCTCAAGTGGTAAGAAACCTCACAGTTAAAACCATTTGGAGTATTATTTTTCTACCATTAGGTGTGGACCCAAAATTCCTTTATAGACCTTCTAGAACAAAAATAGGCTTTCAAAGTTAAGGTTCTGGCTTGAGGAAAAAATATCCATCTCTTACTTTGGAAGGAGCCCATTACTGTATTTTTTTCTTCGTCCCCAGCTCACATGGAATGTGGACATAGATCACAGAGGGTGCTAGCATAAGGACAGAGCTGGGGAAGAGGAATGTCTATCCTTCCTCACGATGCCCTCCTGCTGTTGGTGCACTGATGATCACTGATGGAGGCTGTGAATTCCACATGAAAGGGTTACATGCTCTGTACCTTTTCCAGAAGCTGGACAATGTACAAGGTATAGCTGGTTAGACTAAAGAGGGAGATGCTCAGCCCTCCTTCATGCCGGGCTAATCACAATAGTAGAAGAACAAAACTCAATTTAGGGATTGTAGCCTTTCCTCATCCATTGTCACCATGCTGTTGGATTAAAAAAGGAGTGTGATGAAGAGTGGTAAATTGCAGGCAGTCAGAAATGTAACTGGCTTAGTGGGAACCTCCGTTAATTAAGATGGAATCCCTGTAGATTTTCTTTCTGTAGATTCCGTCTTGTATTGACTCTGTCTTTAACAAATATTGTTGTTGACTTCTTTGGGAGAGGTTGATGTCAAGTTACAGGCTCCCAGTGCTGTCTAGTGGACTTCCTGTCTGCTATCCATCTTCAGGGTTGATGCGCATTTCTTTATTTTCAGCTCCCAAATATTTACTGGAAAAAATAGTCCTTTGAAATCAAGAGTATGATCGCAATAATGACAGAACTAGGCAGTTTAGAGTATACTGCGAAACATAAAAAAATCATAGTTGAAATCTTCATCTTAGAACCAATTGGAACCTCTTCATACAAGCTATGTTATGGACAGCGGTCTTGTTTTCTCCTGAGGTGCTAGGGTGACCTCTGGTGGTTAAACAAAAAATCACACAGTTATTTTTGTTAAATTGGTCAATTGTCTTTTAAGACCATGTTTGCATCTCAGCAGACGGGTTTCTTCTATCCTAAGTATCTTACTGTAATTTTTGTTTTCAATAGAGCTCTAATACTTAGAAACCAAATATGAAAACACACAACAATGCTGATGTCGGAATCTTTTCTTCTAAAGCTCAATTTAGCTTTCTTAGCAGATCTTAAGTAAAAAGCTAGTTTCCTGTCTTCTTGGAAGGGGCAATCATGTGGAGGCAGGGAATGAATGTAGGAGAACCTTCATCTGGAGGATCTTTTGTAATAGCACATTCTAACTCATTCTTTGTGTTTGTTTGTTTGAGGACTATATAGAAAATCCTTTTTTTTTTTCAGCCCTTGCTTATAGAAACAATTAATGCTATTAAATCATTTTTCTTCCTGAATAGTAGACTATAGGGAAATGACTACAATTTTGATTTAAGTTCTTATAGGCCCTCAGTCACCTTTAGGAACATTGGGCCTCTTTACTCTTCTAGGGATATCTGACATTGAATGGAATACCTCATCAAAGTTGCCTCTTGTTTCAGTCTTAAAATCTTTTTCTCCTGATATCTCTTTTATCTTAAAAATCAAGTGTTATGAAAAACCTGGTTAATTGAAGATCATATCTAATGGAGAATTTTATCTCAAGATTTCAGAGAATGAATTTGAACATATAGCACTTTTCAGAGCTCACTTCCAACTGTGGTCCTATAATTAGAGCTTCTTAACCAGAAACCCACAGACATTTTGAGGATCCATGGAGAGGTTTCAGGGACCCAAAGAACCTCTGGATTGTAGACAGAGTTGAGTGTGTTCCCTCTTGTAACAGTTGGCAGATGTGAATGGAGTCATCGAAGAAGAATTCACCATGGCCCGCCTGTATATCAGTAAGATGAAGTCGGAGGTCAAGTCCCTGGTGAACCGCAGCAAGCAGCTGGAGAGCGCCCAGATGGACTCCAACAGGAAGATGAACGCCAGTGAGCGGGAGCTGGCCGCCTGCCAACTGCTCATCTCCCAGGTAGGTCGCCCTATCCTCGTCATTTCACACTATGTTCTCTTGAAACCAGCTTCTTCCTGCTCTTACTGGGCCAATAGCGCATTATTGTGAGACTTGATGGGCTTTGCTTTGCAGTGACTTGTCTGTGGTCCCCAAAGTAGTGACAGCCCAGGGTTAATCTTACGACTCAGACTCAAATTTGTTGTGGGAGTGACCTGAATTACTATCTTCAGTTCCTTTGTACTTCAAAGCATTTTTCAATTAAGACCTGTCATATTGGCCTCCCCCGTGGCACAGCAGGTTGAATGCCATGTGGTACAGCTGTCTGCAGCCTCTGCAGCGCAGGTTCGATTCCCAGCCGGCCAGGGAGAAACCCACATGGAGTGGCAGACCTCTCCTGTCTCATCTGCTGCTCCCCTCAGCAGTGTCTTTGGTCTATCTGCCTGTTCTGCTCCCCACTCTGTCTCTGGTGAATTCTCTCACCCTCCCGTGCCTCCCGTACAAGTTATATTTGAAGAATATGTATTTTGGCAATTACATTTTGGATTATCTGTTCTCCTGGAACATAAATTATTCCCTTTTTTAAAAAGATTTATTTTTTTATACATACAAGAACTGGGGTACAGGCCAATGTGCAGGAGGTTAAGAGGATTCACCAGAGACAGAGCGGGGAACAGAACAGGCAGACTGACTGAAATACACTGCTGAGGGGAGCAGCGGGTGAGACAGGTCTGCCATGCCTATTCCTTTTTTAATGGATGTAACATTGGTTTCCAACCCTATATATGATTTAGAGAAATAGGTTCACACCTGCTCAGATGTGTGTTGCCACACCACACTCGCCACCAAGTACCTCTAGGTCTTTACCACAGATCACTGGACCACCTCTCCCCTGCTTTTCCACCCCTGCTGTCCCTCCCCTTAATCATTTTTAAAGGATACATTGATAAAATTCTACCTAGCTACCTATGGATAGGTAGGTAGATAGATGGAGATATTTGATGAACAGACAAGATGAAGTGAAATCAAAAACACCTATCAGCTAAGGCACATTCCTTCATCTTTTAATCTCTGCCATAGGTCCAATTTAATGCTGGGAAGCAGAAGCTACTACTGCAGTACTATTACTAATAGTAGTAGCAGGTAACATTTTTTGGGGTGTTTACCATGTGCCAAATGCTGGGCTAAACACATTATCTCAACAATTGATCTTAGAAAACAATCCAGGCAAAGCAGACTTTGTTATTGTTCCTGTTTTTTGGATAAGGAAACTTGAGAATTAGAAATAATAAGTATGTTTTCCAAATGCATACAGCCAGTGAAGAGCTGGAATTCAGACTAAAGTTTGTTAACTCTCATTGTTGAAGGGACTTACAGGCCCTAGGGCACAATTCATTGTGAACAAGGCTGCTCTTTTCCCCTCTGGAATGGCATTTCCATTTTAGTAAGATGATTACAGAAAACAGCCATCTAGTTTCGGGTTTGCCACTGATATCTGAACTTGGTGTTTGGAATTTCGGGTTTCTATATGTGGCCCAATTTATGCTGCTCACTGCCTTATATCAAGGATTAAAACAGCTGAAGTCCTTTGGGGGAAACAGATTCTTCCATGGAGTAATGTGTCAAATAACTCTGAATGGCAAATACATGCTTTGTACAGGTCTGCTTTCCCATAGTATATGTCAGTCATAGAAACATCTCTAATCTCCTTGTCTCTGACCATTTTGATCTCAGAGGTGCAATTTTAAAGCAACAAAGTGCCATTTTATAATTAACATAACTACAGAAATTTATTAAGAAGATTATTCACTGTTGGTGTGTGATAGTGAAATTGATTCATGTTGCTGGAAAAAATACAATTTGATCAGTTCGGCTGGAAAATACCTTGGAAATCAAAAACCATAATAATTTACAAATACTGTGGTCCAGTAATTTCACTGATAGTAGTACCTTTTTTATTGTCAATAAAATTGAAACATTTTCAATTCAAATAGTATTTCCTGATTAAAAATATTTAAAGCTTAGATGCAAAATATCAAGAGTATTACTTTATAATGAAATAAAGTATCCAAATAAAGTATTTGATAGACTAATAATAGTTATGTGGAAGAATATTACAAGCTCTTACCAAAGAAGTCATAAAATCTCTTCATTTAGTAAGTATAGTTATATAAAGTCAAAAGAAAATGCTGAGTTATATTTATGCTATGCTTTGCAACTATGTAAAATATGCATTCATAAAGGGGATATTAGGGGGATAGTTAATAAGTTAGAGTGGTTTTCAGATGAAGAGTACACTAGTTTTTCTGGAATTGCTTTACTAGTTGACATTTTATAATTTATAAAAATTACGAAAGGAGAGAAAGTTGAGAAGAAATATAAATATTAGGCTACAGTGTACCTCAGATATGCTTTCTAAATCACCTGTTGCGCTGACAGCGTGTTCCTTGGGCAGTCCTGCCTCTTACGCGTGGAGGCCAGAGTAGAGGCCCTGCAGCCCGCAGCCCTCTCACTGCCTTCTTTTTCGACCTGGACATACCAGCCTCCATGCCCAAGTTCCTTCTGCACTCTCTGTGAACCGATGGAACTGTGCCACCGTGTCACCTGTAATCAGCAGTGTGAATGGATTGTGGCAGCATTTAGCACCAGGCCTGGCAGTGACTTGGGGTCATTATAGATTCTCAATACTCAGAGTGTGTTCTGGAAGGAGACGTGGGTTCCAGGTGGGCACACTTCCTCGGCCTATCAATCCTTTGCACAGTGAAGTGCAGCCTAAGTGGGGTGTTCTAAAGTCTGGGGACCCTACTTGCCTAGGTCTTAGAGTGACATAGACTTTGGATGTGTAAGAGCAGAGTCAAGAATATTGGGGTGTTTTGGGGTTAAAGAATGCCCTATTTGTGCTATCTCCATTAGCAACAAGTACAGTTTTCCATTAGGGCTATTTTGTACGTTGCTACAATTTGTGCAAAGCCCATGATTTAATCATTATATTCTGGGATCCAAAGGAGCAGAAGCCTTGGCTCTTTGTCTTCTGGCATAATCTAAGGAATATTTAGAAATAAATATCTATCTTCTTTGTTTGCACTTATCCTACCAAAACCAAGGCTTATAAAATGACTGTCAACTATGTCCCACTTCCAGAGGTTATTTTAGTAGATCAAGAACTCAGGCTCCAGGAATATCCTTCCTGAATGTGAGTGTTTTGCCTATTTCCAGCTGCCTGGAAGTGACTACTGTCCCTGTTCAGCCAATGATTTCCCATGTATTCCCTTATTCTACTAATATTAGTTACACATCTACTCTATATCCTCATGGAGCGAACAAGTAAAAAAAAATAGAAAATCATGTAGAATTAATTTAGCTGCTGTAAGAAATTGAGGCTTGCATAATAAGGATCTATTCAGGACCATATCTGGGAGAGTGGTGGGGAGGAGAATGTAAAATGCAAACTCCCCGTGATGAGAATTGGTGTGTGTGAAAGACAGAGGGAAAAGATATGGTATTTGAGTTACAAAGATGGACTCTAAGGTGCAACTTCAAAGATTGAGGTCTCCAGCCCTAGGTGTTTTTCCAATCCCTTCTCTACAGCCCACACTTCTCTGTGAGAAAGAAAGCCTGCTTGGTCTTAGGTATCTCACTTAAGTCGGTGGCAGGGAGGTATGTGGCCATGGGCAGTGTCTGTGGGGAATGCAGTAGAGAGGCACCTGCAAGAGGCCAGACAACATCTTACTTGGGGATCCTGAATCCCCAGCAAAGGGCAGAAATATTCACCATTTGGGTGTTGGTCTCCAAATTCAGAACTCAGGGATGCCTCTGTTTTTCCCCATCAGGTGGTCCCAGGCAAGCCTGGGTGACCACTTACTAGTCACTCACTCCTTTTTATCTCTTTGCTGGCTTAAAGCATGAAGCCAAGATCAAATCGCTGACAGACTACATGCAGAACATGGAACAGAAAAGGAGGCAGCTGGAAGAGTCCCAGGACTCACTCAGTGAAGAGCTGGCCAAGCTCCGTGCCCAAGGTAAATAATTGACTGCTTTATAGGTGTCAAATTCTTGGCCTAAATCTGATGCTCTAGTTGGCTTTATTCATGATGTTTTAGTTTTGCTCAATTACAGCATTTTGAGAGTCGCTAAAAACAATGGCATAACTTGGGGGAGAGGGGACTGAAAAAGAGAAACATAAAGAAAGTCTGCCCGCTCCCTGTATCTGCTTCTCTTCATTTCCCTGCTGCCTGAGCAGAATGCTCTTCCTTCTTTACCTCCTGCCTTAAGTCTCTCACCAAGGCCTGCCAGATGCTCGTTTCTTTCTGCCCATCTCCATTTTCATTGTCACTGTCCTTAATTCTAATTAAGGATGGTGGCCACATCCATCCACCAAGAACCCCACCCCCAGTCTGCTCGAGGTTGGCCACCGTGCTGCATCCCAAGGGGCTGTTTTAAAATCAGATTCTGTCTTGTGCCCAACCCATGCCACTGACCTTTTCACAGTGCCCAGTGACTCTTAACACAAAGTCTGAACTTCTACCAACGGCTTACCTGGCACCGTCCACCCTTTGACTAAAGCCCTTCTGTTTTTCCGGGCAGCCTCCTCACTGCTTTTGTTTTGGAAAGCGCCTGATACATAGGAAGCACTCAATAAAGATGAATAAATAACAGCAGAAATTCAAGAGAGGTTACTGTAGAAATGCAGAAACCAGAACGGGATTAACTGCATTGTGGTGAAATGGCAACACACATGTTTTGGGTTGCAGTGGAAATTAATTAAAAGTCCTTTGGAAATATTTTGAAAATGCATAATAAACATAGCACTTTGTATACCTTTTGAGTCCCCAAATCTCAGCTATTCATTGCAGAATTATTTACATTAGTGGGGAAAAAAAAGTCCAACAATCACATGAACTGTTATTTTCTAGAATTTTTTTTTTTTTCATGTCGGAGATGAAGTACATGAGGACTGTGTAGCAGTGCTTAAAATGCAGCCTGAGCTCAAAATTTACATGTGATCTTGATTACAGTTTAAAAATCTGTGGATACTTGTGTTCTAAGACCTGCAAGTTAACATTTGAAATGAAAATGGTTTTGATAGGGTCGTAGGATTGGAGATAAAATTCCTTTTTTTCTGTTACATACTTACTTGCTCAGTAAATATATTTGTTTTGAATGCCAAGGCAAATTTAAAAAGAGAACATGCCCACCCCTGCGAACTCTGACCCTGTATTATTTTCTTTATGTGATAACAAGTGAATGTTAAGAATATAACCCTCCACCCAGAACTTGACATAGTCAAGAACTTTTCTCTTTTGCAAATGATTTTGGCAGTGGTAGCCCTGAGCAAAAAGAGAAGCGAGAAGACCTGAAATTTATTAAAAGTGCAACAGACCAGAGGGAAAATGTGATGCTGTGGATGTCACTTCTTAAACTGTTTTGCTCCCTCCACCCCCAATTCAGACTGCCCATTGCCCATGTGCCCAGAGAGCACCTCTGATCTCTGAGAATAGGCTGGCCAGCCCCCTGGAGGGCATAACGGCAACCCTGTGCCGAAACTGGGGCCTTGTTCTATTTAGTCTGGAGAATGTTTCTTCATGTTTCTGTTCTCCTTGTTCTTATCCTTAGAGTTTGTTTTCTTGCTCCTGAGTCTTAGAGAATAAACAGCTTACCCACGGGAGGTAAATTAGCTCTTTCTGGAATTCTAATGGTGGCACGAATCCATATGCCCATGAAATCCACAGGGTGCTTTATAATGGACAAAGCACAGGTGCACATGTTACTTCAAGAGCTGCTCACCAGGGCAAGGTGGGGAGCCAGTCCCCGAGGTGTAGGGTGATACATAGCCAGGTCAGTCTCAAGTGGGCCCCCACATAGGCCCTCTCCCCTGTAATCACTTCTGTCACCCAGGACATGGGTCATCTCCTAGCAGTGGCTTTACAGGGTATCCTGCAGGCACGTGCCTTGATGATATGGTTGTGACTGGTGATAGAAGCTGATGTTTCACTCCATTGCCATTTTTCTTTTTTAATTTTGACCTTTGGGTGTTTGTCCTGCCTGTTAAATGTTAAATTATCATTTACAATTTAAAACAGAAAAAATGCATGAAGTCAGCTTCCAGGACAAGGAGAAGGAACACCTGACACGACTGCAGGATGCTGAGGAAATGAAGGTGTGTACAGCTGCCCCTCCACCAGGCCCAGCATGTGCTTGGCTTGGATTTTCTTGTTCTTGGAAAATCTGTCCTCATCAGAGACGTGTGTGGCAGTATGGGGGGGGGGGGGTACCAGTGCCGTGCATTTAGAGCCATTCCCAGAGTGTGGCTTGGCTGAGAAATGAGATGAAGATGGAGGTACCCAGGACCCCCAGGAGTCGGTGAATAATAGACTGCATTAGTGCGTTTTTCTTCACTGTTACTGATGAACAGAGAAGGAGCAGCAGCTGCCAGTCACTGCAGGGTCACCACACATTGGGGCTAGCTTCTGAAGAAATGCTCACCCCCTCCTTCAAATGGAAGAAAACATTTCCCCTTTTTTTCTTTTTTTAAAGAAATGCCCCAAATCTGAATTTCTATCTTAGTTATCAAAATCTTTATTCTTGATCACATTTTAAAAACAATAAAGGAACATGTAGAAAAAATGGTTTGGAAATAAGAGTTTTTAGGTGAAGAAAAGGAGATATGAGACAATGTAGGCTCTTGATTAGCTTTAGGCAAACTTCAGGCCCTTCAGTGTAAGCCCCAGTGCAGGCGATGCCCATGGCGTGACCCTGTTCCGGTCAGTAGCATAACCAGGCCTTGCCTGGGTGGCCCTCCCCTGGTTTCACATTGCTTTGAGGAGGAAGTCTCTTTTGAATCATAAATCTGTGCAATGGTCAGGGCAGGGCTAGTTATATAACATTTACAAGTGAGGAAGTGTGGCTCACACAGGTTAGTGACTTCTCTGAGGTTCCCTGGCTGGTAAGGGGTTTGCGTCCTCTGAATGACCTGACTAGAGAAGCCAAGTAGCTCAGGTGAGCTGAGCTGTAGAAAGTTGGGGAAGAATTATTGATGGGCTAATTTGCTTCTGAGGCCCACTCAGTTTTATAACATCCTGGAGTTTTGTTGTCCAAAGGTAGGTTCTGGGACTCTCCAGTTTGGGGATCTGACAGCTGAGGGACATGTGGGGTAGGCGACAGAAGTAAGTGATCCAGGGCTTGTCACTGAGTGGGCTGGGAGCCAACGAGTAGATGACACATTTCTCTTGGCCTGGGTTGCAGAAGGCACTGGAGCAGCAGATGGAGAGCCACCGGGAAGCTCACCAGAAGCAGCTGTCCAGACTTCGAGATGAAATTGAGGAGAAGCAGAAAATCATTGATGAGATTCGGGAGTGAGTTGGCATGGGGTTCACAGGACGTGGGGGAGGGCCTGGCTCTTTGGCCAACGTGGAAGAACACGGATTATAACTGAGCATCTTGACAGCTTGCCCGGTGGGCTCTGTGCTCTGCCCTGTGACCAGCAGCAGGACGTGCTGCTTCTGATAGCTGTTCTCCTTTCTGGAACTGAGCCTTGGAGGGCTCTGATGGAGCAGGTGGCAGGCGGGCCCAGATGCCCTTTCTGGTCCCTGCAGAGCAGGGTCATGTTGGTGACTCAGCTGGACAGACACAGGCCTCAGTAGGTGGGAACACTGCATGAAAGTATGAAAAAAAATCTGAATTGGTCCTGAACTTGATTTCTTTTTTTTCTTTTTTTTTTTTTTTATAGAGGCATGTTTTATTTATTTATTTATTTGTTTGTTTTGTTTATACATGCACTGGGTACAGTCAGAAGCGCGGGAGGGTGAGAGAATTCACCAGAGCCAGAGCGGGGAGCAGAGCAGGCAGAAGGACCGAAGCACACTGCTGAGGGGAGCAGCGGGCGGCAGGAGAGGTCTGCACGCCATGTGGGACCCTCCTCCAGTGGCCGGGGAGCAGCCGGGGATTGAACCGGCGCCGCAGAGGCCGCGGGCAGCTTTGCAACCCAGCGCTCAACCGCTGCACCACCGGGGAGGCCCTGAACTTGATTTCTGATAAATTAATAAATATTCCAGAGAAAACAGTCAGCTCCTACCTCCTTCTCACCTAAACATATACAAGCACAATGCACAACTCTAAGCCACTGGGTCTCCAGGACCCACTGTCATGTGTCTGCACTTGCTGTGAACCTGTGGCATTCGCCAGGATGACATCATTAATTACAGCGTGACTTTGGTGTGCCCCCCACCCCTGGCCATTCCCCTGTCCTGCCCTCTCCACTGAAGAGTTCCTGCCCCATAGTGACCTCTGCCTCATCGGCACCACAGAAGGCTCCCAGCTGGAGGCTTCCTTCAGGTTCCTACCCTGAGGGTTCTTAACATGTTGCCCAGTGGGTTCCTTGGCAATCTTTGAATATCTTTGCAGTATAATATTTTTGAAAACACTAAGTAAAAGAGAAAGTTCTCCTGCTTTCTGTAGATGAAGAAATAGATGTCTATAAGGGAAGCAAGATTACACGATTTACTTAGGGTCACCCTGCTAAAGAGGAATCAAACTGGAGTTAAAGTCTAATTCTCCCTTCTGCTGAGCCAATCCTCCTTTCAGTGGGTGTGAGTTGCTCACATAGTACATTTGCATTTTGGTAGGGGAGAATGGTGACGCAGGCAGAGGTGTTAATGGTGCGATCTGGGCTCCATGTGCAGTCTGCCGAGGAAGGCTCTTTGCCTCTCTCCTTCTTCCGACCGCTCCCCACCTCCAATGCTATCATTTGTGTTGTGCTTTACCCTTCAAGCGTGTCTCATGTTCATTATTCTGATTAATCACCCTTGAAATGTTCAACTGGAAAGGGAAAAAGAGCAAGGGAAGGAAGGCTAGAAAGAGAGTGGGTCGGTGAGCAAGTTAGCTGGTGGGGAAGTGCCCTTGGCCTGCACCTTTCAGATGGACTCTGGGTTTTCTTTTTGAGAGTGTGTGATGTGTTCCTTCAGCCAGGGAGGCATGGCTGCATAAAAAGCCTTCATTGTAAGTCCTGAGCTCATGTGAACATTGACCAAATGCCCTAGCTAGATGGTGGGGTTTCTGTTTTGCAGCAGATCTGGATGGTTTTGTATTCCCTATCTCTGCACGTCCCCCTCGAAGACTTCACATGGAACACTCCTGTGTTCCAGGAATTTGGATTTGGGAGATGTTTTCAGAACATCACACCAGAGAGGAAGGGAAGGTTGAAATGGCCAAATAAGGCTCCCTGAGTGGGTGCATGACATCTGTAGGGCAGACAGCAGAATTCTTCTGACCAGGCTCGCTTTCTCTGTTTTAAAATATCAGCTCCTTTTCCATCTCATTATTTTCCGCCTAAAGCTCTTGTACAAGCCAACTAAAAATACATCCTCAAAGTCAGTGTTTCATGCCTCTTAGATGCTCCCCAGAAATTAGTTTTTACTTGGGCAGGGAGGAAGCTGTGAGGGTGTTCTCTGATCCTTCAAAATCCTCCAGAATTGCTGCCTTTATTGCACAGAACTAATGGGGTTGGAACAGAACCATGTCTTTAGCAGGATGACTCGGGATTTCAGACTGATGTGGAATGTATTGCTTTTCCCTCTCAATTTCAGTTTGAATCAGAAACTGCAACTGGAACAGGAGAAGCTCAGTTCTGATTATAACAAGCTGAAAATAGAGGACCAAGAGAGAGAAATGAAACTGGAAAAGCTCTTGTGAGTGCACTTTAAATATTTTCTCTGTTTTCTTTCATCTCTTGAAGTCATAAAAAGTCTACTTTGGTGATTCAGACATTAAAATAGTCTGGTTTGATAAGGCCAATTAAAAACTGACAACAGCTATTTATGTGAGTTGCTTTGTCATATATGCAGATGCAAATGGTACCTGCAGAGATCTGTGATGCCCCTGCGGTGTTCCTGAGTCCTTTTTGTTTTTTAGGTTGCTCAATGATAAAAGGGAACAAGCCCGGGAGGACCTCAAAGGGCTGGAGGAGACAGTGGTATGTCAACATGTTTTCCAACTGATGTTAGTCTTGAAGACCAGATTAGTTTGATTTGTCACACATTTGCTTATTCTAATTTTTTTTCTGTGTATATTTTTCTTATATACCATTTTAGACCTAAAACATCCTGTGAGAAAGTGAGGCTTGTAGGATTATCCCCCAGCTTTTGACAGAGGGTTAACCATCAGTCCATCTGATGAATCCACCCATCCATCCATCTTTAATGTTGTAACTCTTGAGCCCCCGAGTGAGAACTGAACTGAACTGCAAGTCAATGCCTGCAATATTTTAGCCTCTGTACTTTGTGAATTACTTCCATTCAGCAGATATTTATTGAGCCCCCACTTAGGACCAGCAATTTTCTAGATGCTTGGGTGGCATCAATAAAGAGCAGAAATAAAATCCTGGCCCTTGTGAAGCTTACTTTGAGCTGGGGGAGAGACAGTGGAAAATATAATGGGGTAAACATAAATTCCATTAGATGGTTACAGAAAGTGCAGAGGCTGGTGGTTTGGGGAGACTCCCCGGGGAGGTGACAGTTGAGTAGAGGCTTGACACAGAAGACAGAGGGAGGCACGGGGGTGTCTGGAGGAAGAGCCTTTCAGTCAAAGGCAACAGCTTGTGCCACAGCCCTGAGGTGAGTCCATGCCTGGCATGTTGGGGAGCAGAAAGGTCAGTGTGGCTATGAAGGGGTCAGGAGGCAGACACAGAGAGGTTGACGTGAGTGGGGTACAGGTCAAGTACGGCCTTGAGATCCTCAGGGTTTGGGACAGAAATGACAGACCTCCTTACCTCTGGATAAGCTCATCATTTGAAACCCTGGGTGGTTTCTTACTGCATCCTACTCCTGACATCTCTGGTGTTTCCCATTTCAGTGGTCCTGCAGGATGGCAGCCTGGCTCCCTCAGGGCCCCTGAGAATCCTTAGTGGTTCTCACACAGAGAGTCAGACCCTAGTTAGCCTCACAATTTGGCGAAAACATTTTAGTCATTTCATATGATACTATAACAGGGAGAACCTGTTATTTATATGCAGCCTACAGTTTGATTCCATTCCTGTGCCGTGTGTGTGTATATGTGAGATGGAGCCAGGAACCAAGAATCTAGCAGCCATAGGTGTAGACAAATGTTTGTGCCAAACCGGACTGGGGTCTCAGTCTGACTCCTGGGCCAGTCTGAGCTGCTCTTGAGAGCCAGGGAGAGGCGGGCTGCGCAAGGCCCTTTAGGACAGGAGAAAGATGACTGCTTTCAGAGAAGTTGGTCTTTCAAGTCTGGAGAAGACTGTGCCCAGGGACATGCAGGGGAAGCAGAAATGAAGCTATGAAACGGCTGTTTTACCACAGAAGTGATACCCATAATTACAGATAATTATAAAAATTCAAAAAATATTGAATATGAAAATGTTATTATATGCCCATCAGTCAGAGAGAAATGGTATTTTAATGTCTTTTCTTCCTTTATACTCATGAAGTCTCCCACACTGCCTCACCCCCCATCTCTGCTCCTGCACGCCCTCACCTGCACCTTCACTCTTACCTCCTTCTCTCAGTCTATTTCACATGCACCCACACATGTGCAGTCACTCATGCTCTCTCAGACACATCACACTTCACGCCCTCTCACACCTGCACTCACATCCGCCCCCTCCCCCTGCACAAGTGCTCACAGGCACCTGCTCTCACACCCACAGGCCCTCACTTTCAAGTTCTCCCCCGTGATCATCCACACACACTTACTTAATACACACTTACTTAATACACCCCCTAACGCACTCCCACTCATACTTATTTTGATCACATGCTTTCTTACCTGCACACTCACTTGTGCACACACAATCATTCCCACCTTCTTGCTCAACCTCAGCTCATACCCACAGTGCACTCATGTACTGTTGCACCAGCACAGTCACACAGTGACAGTGCATTTATGGACACTTACACTTGGCTCTCACACTTGCTAACAGTCACTCTTGCATTCATTCACTCACATATTTATGCAAAACCCACACTTTCATACTTGCTTTCTCTTTCACACTCACCCATGAGCATATTCTTCTTTTTGATGTTTAAATACATTTTTAACAACACGTTTTCCTTACTGGCCTCCTTAAATCTATCTGCTCATTCCCTCTCACTCCCTCCCACCTGTTCACTCACATCCCACACTCACACCCTACACTCCACACCCCTCCATGCTCACTTAACAAGCCTGCTTTGCCTCATGCACACACTCACCCATCACCCCCTCCCTCACACATGGATAAAGCCACTGATATGGTGGCTCTCTCTCTCTCTCTCTCCCTCTCTCCCCCCTCCCCCCGCTCCCTCCAGCACCCCTGCACATCATGTACACATATACTTTTTAGACCCCAAATTGGAGTCACACAGAATGTGCCATTTAAATGGAGATGTTTTCACTTAACCTTCCATTAGAATCCTCCTCAAGCTGTCAGTGTTCCTCAGAAACAGGCTTGCTGTCCTTGGCAGGCTGCTCTTGAGCCCTCTTTAGCTCAAGGCCTGTTCTGACTCCTTGAGTGGGTGGGGCTGGAGCCTGCTGTCCGGGGCTCAGAGCCCGGGAGCCTCCTCCAGGGACATCAGTGGGAAGCGTGGAGTGGAGGGCAGCCCTGCAGCCCCATCTTGCTTCCACAGGACACTCTTGACTTGGGCTGGAACCCTCTGCCTGCCGTTGATGGGCAGCGGCCTTTCACACCTCACTGGTCCTACCCTCACTGTCTGCTGTGGCAGGAGCTGAGCCCTGAACTTTTACACAGCACAGTGGCCTGCGGTGGGAAAAACTTGAGGGATGCAAATGGGGAGTGGTAATGAATATGATGGAGGAATAGTCATTGCTGCAGGAAGCCAAGTGACGATTAACTCTAAATTCAGTGTGCACAGTGTGGCAAACTACCTTAAAGGTAGATTCCCCTCCCTAACTGTTGAGTTCACCTAAAAACAAACAAAATGAGATGAAGTCACAAACTCATTTGTACTTAAATCCCATGGAAATGCTTGACCCTTTGGCAGGACACACGTCTTCTCATTTCCCTTTGGTGCGGCATTTTTCATGGAAGATATTTAGTGTGACTACAGTTCAGACAGTAATAAAATCCCTGAACTAGGAGGAGGAGTGTGTGGAGCTGGGGTGCAGGAGGCTAGATTCTCTCAGGCTAGGGTACAGGGCAGGTGTCTGCACAAATGTGAACCTTGATCTCTACCCCATTACCTGCCCTGGGAGATGGCTAAGCCTGGACAGGTACGATGCGCATGGTATTCATAACAACAGAAAAAAAGCAATTTACCTCATCTGAGGAAGCAATTGACTTTGGGTGCTTGGTGCTTCAACATTGAATTGCAGAATTGAGCCCAGTAATAAGACCTTAAATTAACATAGGACCTTTATTCTGAGAAACTTAGTGTTTCCAGAGTTATATGGTCCATTTCTTTTTTCTGTAAGCATATGTGAGTGCATCCCTTGACATTCTGTATTAGAGTAGGTCAACTAGGACAAATTGAAAAGTATGAAAGTGAGTTAATCTCTCTCTTCCTCCCTCATGGAAAAGATTTTTTGCATAGAACTAATCACACCCCCTCTTGTAAATACATGGTGACTTGAATGGAAGGGAATGATTAGATATTCTGCTCTTATTAACAAAGGTCACCAGCTTTGGTTATGATTCTTGTCAAAGCATAAGAATAATTCCTTAAGGTCCTTTAAGAGAAAATAATCCAAAATGAAGGAAAAAATTCTCCCGGGAAGTTAACTGCACTGTAATTTATAACAATAGAAGGAATCAGTAAAAGCCTAATGAATAATGACTATCAAATGCCTCGATAGTAACTTAACACTAGCTAGTGTTTATTGAGCACTTACTTTATACCAGGAACTGTTGTAAGCATTTTATAATCACTAGCTCAATCCTGACAACCAAAACTACGAGGCAGTGACTATTTTTATCCTGTCACAAATAAGAAAACTGAGGCACAGAAAGTTAAAATGACTTGCCTGGAGTCACCCAGAGGAAAAGTTCACGAGCTGCCTCATCCTTCCAGTCAGTGATGAAAAGCAAATGAGCCTCTGGACCAGAGCCAGGAGAGAGTGTAGCAACATGAGAAAAGTCAGTCAGTGAGGGTGGGGGAAATCGCGGCTAGCTTTTCATTTAAGCTTGTTGGTGTCATAGATGATATGTATGTGACAAATTAGAGAAAAAAAATGTTTTGGTACAACATGGAAATTTTTGTGAGAAAAACTTGAATTTTTGTGGTTAAGGAAAAATAAAAAGGAATGCACTTAGAATACAGAAAATTTGCAGGCTTTGTTTTGGCTTGTAGTTTGTTGTTGGGATCCCAGTCTGCACCTAAGTGTGCTCTTCATGAGGCAACAGATGGAGTGGGTAGAGGTGTGTTCTGGGCAAGTCAGAGGAAGTGGGGGACATTGTTGCTTTGGCTGTGGAGACCTCTGGGGCTGATGTGTCATCAATTCAACTTGTCCTTGCACTTAAGTGGCATTTTAACAATCTTCTCTTCCAGTCTCGAGAACTGCAGACTCTGCACAACCTCCGTAAACTCTTTGTCCAGGATCTGACTGCCCGGGTCAAAAAGGTGAGTTCTATCTATGTGAATGGGACTGAGGAGAAAAGAAAGATGGCCAGGAAGAATCATTTTCCATAGAAATATTACTTAAATTGGAACTGGTTATGCTTAAAAATTAAAGACTTTATGCCAGAGAATGTTATTAAAAGAATGCGCTGGAGGCAAAAAAACAAAATACTTGGGAACATATTTCCGTCTGATTTTCTTCCTTTAGTAAAAGGAAGTTATAATCCTTTCCCTTCATTTCAAACAAATACATACTTGTCTGGCTGCAGTGTGAAAGGCAGGGGAAATCCAGAGGGATTTGGGGCTATCATCAGATAGCCCCAAAGCATGGCGAGCAATTCCAGAAATAGACAAGTTAGAGGCAGTAACCTCCTACTTGCCTGTTAGGAGGTGACTGGTCAGGGTTTATGAAGCACATTAACATCCCACATCTTGTTTGCTCTTCTCAGCAGCCACGTAAGTGGATTTCTTAGTGTTCTGTTTTGTACATGTGGAGATAGACTCACTGGTTAAATAACTTGCCCAAGATTGTACAGCTGGGAAGAGCCTAAGATAGGTGTGACTTTTGAGTGTGAGCTTCTTTGGTCCTCTTGCCAAGCACAGTGATCTTGGGGAGTCACCATAGGGTGAAACCAGCGTGAGAGATAGAGGCAGCAACAGAGTTGCTTTTTATAAATGTTTAAAAGTAATTAAAGAGGAGCAAAGCCCACATGCTGAGGTATAATTGGATGGAAGGAAGACATATTCAAGAATACTACATGCATGCGTGCCTCCGCATACATGTGTGTACTTGAAGTTGTCAAGGGAAAAAGGTGAACAATTTAAAGAAGACAGGGTGGAGTGAATCAGATCTTAGAGGAACAGAATTAATAGCTTAGATCAATATATTAGACGTGGTCAGGAAATGGGTCAGTTTTTTTCCAGAGAGGAGGGATAAAAGCGAGATGGAGTTACTTGCAGGGAAATATATAACAGTGTGTAGAAGAAGCATCCAGTCACTTTGAGCTTCACAGTTAATATGGAGAGATGGGTCCTTAGTGGAAAAGGACAGAACAGAATAGGGAAGCCTACAGACATGAGGCAGCTGAGGGGGATCTAGGGATGAATGAAAGACTGCTGAGCTATGGCATGAGTGTCAGCTGAGGGTCAGTGCATGGCTTTGCTGTGGATCCTGACAGCATGGTTCTAGTGAGCATGGAAGCCTGGAAACAAAAATAAAGAAGGTGGAGAATGATGGGAGATTTCAAACCTGCATAGTGTCAGTTGGGCAGATCGGTAGTGACCACAGTTGTCAAAATAGAAATGACAATAGGACCTGGGCCAGGTAGGTGATGGAGAGGAGACCAGTGAGGTCTGACAAGTGCAAAGGCTCAGTAGGAAGGAGGAGGTAGTCCCAGGAGGATGAAGAACTTGAAACCAGACTTCTGTGATTTCACGATGTAGGTCTTAGAAGAAACTACTTTTAGACCAGTGGTTCTCCAGGTGTGCTCATCTGGCCAGCAGCATTAGGGCCAGCTGGGGATTTGCTAGATATACAGATGCTCAGACTCACCGCAGAGCCACTGAATTCAGGACTAGGTGTTGGACCCAGCAATCTGTTAACAGACCCACCTCTGGGTAACGTTTGAGCACCCCTGGTTTTAGAGACACTGGTTATGTCTCTTATGGGTTGTATCCTGTAGCTTCTGCTCCCTCTCAGAAAAAGAAGGGTGATCCCTTCTACAGTCAGATGAAGCAAGAGAGCATTGCCATGTTTGGACTCCAGGATGTGTTTGCACATGTATTTCCTATCTTATCTGTGCCACTCAGCTTGGCAGTGCTGGAAAACTGGCAGTATTGTGCCAGTTTTGGGATCTGATAACCCTCAAGAGTTTATTTAGCATAGTGCCCGGATGCTGTGACCAGTTTGAGATGAATTCACTAGGGGATTTCAGGGAATTGGAAGCTCAAGGGACAAACAGAGGCCACCAATTCTTTCCTGTGCGTTCATAGATTCTTGTGTGACTTACATCTCAGGCGTAATATTGCAGCCAAATTTAGGGTTGCGTTCTCACACTGATAACTTCTTAATGAGTTTTGGAACCCTTCCTTTTGAAAAGTCTCTTTATCTACCTGCAAGAGGGTATCGATCATAAAAAGAAATTATCTATCTGTCAAAAAAAGATTTGAAGTTTTTTTTTGTGCTAGCCCTCTAAAAAGTCATACTTCTAATCAACAAACAGAATTAGTTAATTGGGAAGGTTATTCTGTCTAAACTTTTAGAGGTCCTGCTCATTTTTGTTTGCATAATAACCTATGCTGGGATTGGGATTTTAAAAAAACATTACTTAGCACGTACCATCCACATTATGTTGGGCTGAGGGTGGGCAGTGTGACCACCTGGCCCCTAACCTCTTGGTGTTGATGCAGAGTGTGGAGCTGGACAGTGATGATGGAGGAGGCAGTGCTGCCCAGAAACAGAAAATTTCCTTCCTGGAGAATAATCTGGAGCAGCTTACTAAGGTTCACAAACAGGTAGGAGAGCCTTGCCAGTTTCCTTCTGTTTTTCTTTCTCTCTAAAAGAAGTCCCACCAGATTTAATCACAATGTGGGGTAAAGTATTCAAAGGTTAATGGACAACACATCATCAGAGAATATTAGTGCTGGAGAGTCCTGGAGATCCTTTATTCTTCAGTGACTTTCCTTTTATATAAAATACAGCAGGTCCTCAGTAGGGTCTTGGAAATTGCAACTCTAAGCAGAAGGACATATAACAAAACATGTTTTACCATAGACTAATTGATGAGTTAAGTTCCTATGGCATATTTCTGCTCTCCCAAAAGCATCACCAATCTTCTAAATAAAGACCCAGAACACTAATAATGTTAAGCAATCATTTTTGTATTAATTGATTCATTCATTTTGCTTATTCCAATTTAGAATTGCAGGTGGCAGAGCCTATCCTGATAACCAAGGGTGCAAAGCAGGAACTAACCATGGGCAGGGTGCCCTTTTATTGCAGAGTGCAGGTGTGCATATGTGTGCGAGTGCACACACCCCCACACACGCTTCTCACCACTCACTGACTCAGACTGAAACAACTTAGACATCATAATCAACTTAATCTGCACACTTTTAGGATGTAGGAAGAGACCCTAGTACCCAGAGAAACTCATAGGCATGAGGAGAATGTACTCACTTCAGAGACGAGGGTCATAACCAGGAATCATTTTTTTTCCTCATGAATATTATCATGAATTGGTGTCGAATGAAATGATCTTTTTTTTTTTTTTTTTTTTCCGAATGAAATGATCTTATTTGAGCACCTGCTGTGCTTTTTTGTTGTTGTTGAAGCTATACATAAGGGCTTAAGTTTGAGCTCTCTTGGGCTAAGAGATCGGGGTGTTCAGAGCCCTGCCTTTTCACTCTGTCTCCAGTTCCACTGTCTCCTCCACGGGCCTCGGAACCTCCCGGGACACCTCTGATGCCCCTCAGTGGCACCAGAGCTGCACAGAATGCCAAGTGGACACCACTGACCTGGCTTAGGCCCCTTATTTTAACAGACTGGAAAAAAAGACTGGGAGAGGAATAACATGCTTCGTCCCATACTTGGGAGAACTAGAGCTGGAACAGCCCCCACCATTTCTTTTCTGTCACCCTGTTTCCTGGGCATCCAGGAAACATGCTACCAGTCTATCTCCAGGAATTTGTCTAGAGTAACAGAGATGGATAACTATGTCCAAACCTACTGGTGGTTTCGGCAGGTCTGCCTGTCTCTCATTTCTGATTAAGTTCCAGACTGGTCGTGACTTTTCCTTAAATCCTAAAGAAATCTTGGGATGTGGTAAAAATGATCCAACTCTTGGGTCACATGACAGAGGGAATGCCAATTCTCTTTCTCACTCTGCCCTTTAAGTTCATCCTAATAGCTCAAAGTTTCCTCACTGTAAAGTTGGAGGAATGAACTTAGCTTTGCGTTGTGGGGATCGAGGGATCATTTACTTTCCTTGACTTGTCGAGTTCTCTTCAATATCACCACCCAGAGGGAGGATGGCAGATTTGCCATGGCTGAAGTCATTCAAGCAAAAGCTAATGAGACACATAAAAACAGAAGCTGCCAAGGAACTTGAAATAGTGCTGTGAAAATCATTAATTATTCATGAATTCTATGAATATTCATTAAAAGACTACTCTGTCAGGGATCAGAGAGAGTGATGGGGATGCAGAGGTAAAGAATGCAGTATGGCCCCAGGGATGGTTCAATTTTGTGTAGTACTTGCTGATTTTCACAACTTTTCTTGAACCTTTTATGTCCCCTCCATGGTCCTAGTATGCAGTGTCCTTTTTATTTTCTTTTGAGAAACCTGAGACTCGTAGTGACTTACACCAAGTTAGCTGAGCAGGAAATAATAGAGCTAGCACTTGGCCCCAGCATAACCTAGAATGCGTCTGGTGTGTTTTATTTGACATGTAAATGACATATAACACTGTTTTCATTTCAGGTGTACAACACAATGATGCAGCATTTGTAGATATTGCAAAATGATTACCCTAACAAGTGTAGTTAATGTCCATCACCACACATAGTCACAATTTTTTTTGTGATGAGAACTTTTAAGATTTAATCTCTTAGCAACTTTCAAATATGCAGTAGAATACTATACATTACATACCAAGGACCTTTTCATTTTATAACTGGAAATTTGTAGCTTTTGATCTTTCTACCCATTTCACCCAAACCCCAACCCCCTGCCTCTGGCAACCACCCATCTGTTCTCAGTATCTATGTGTTTGGTTTTGTTTGTTTTGTAGATTCCACATATATGTGAGATCATATAAATGTCTTTAACTTACTTCACTTAGCATAGCTGGTTTCTTCTTCATTGAGGGCCTTAGGTAATGAAAGAATAAGCTGTACATTTTTGCCCCTGGAAAAGCTGCGCAATGCAGTCCAAGTCACATGCTGGTGTAGACATGTATGTCCTATGTGTCAGGTGGCTATCAGAGAGCTCCGGGACATGCCTGCCTTTTACTGAATGCTTTGAACTTGCCTTAAATTTCTTAGCATTCACATGCTCATGCCATGTGTCATGTTTCTCACGGTATTTCCATCACTCCAAAAGGAAATAAATTCTACCCTGAGAGATCCCTCTAGCCGTGAAGGGTTTTACATTTGTTCTGTACCCCTTCTTCCTTGAAGCCTTTGCGTCACATCTTATCGGGTGTGGAGTTGGACTTGGGTATAGGTTTTTATATTCCTTTGCTGATTCCAGAGTTTCTGGACATAGGGATGTTCCAAGACAGCCTAACAGGGGGCGGTGGCTGTTGTGCTGCTTCCAGCTGCTCTCCTGTCACTTTCTTTATCTCCTGCAGTGGGTCTGCTTCTGCTGCTGGCCCAAGGCCTCCCCAATAACTCACCTCATTTCCCGCCCCCCCCGCAGCTGGTCCGGGACAACGCAGACCTGCGCTGTGAGCTGCCCAAGTTAGAGAAGCGGCTGCGCGCCACGGCGGAGCGGGTCAAGGCCCTGGAAAGCGCGCTGAAGGAGGCCAAGGAGAACGCCATGCGGGACCGCAAGCGCTACCAGCAGGAGGTGGATCGCATCAAGGAGGCTGTGAGAGCCAAGAACATGGCCAGGAGGGCCCACTCGGCCCAGATCGGTACGTGTGCTTCTCACCTGGGCCCTTGCTTTGAGGCAAGGACTCCGGTGGTCAGCAGCACTGGTGCCCCGAGGCGCATGGGTGGTCCACTCTGCGACATCAGGAAGGCTGCATCAGGCCCGCAGGACCTGGGCTGGCCAGTGCCATGCCGGTACCCTGCACCCATACAGGGAGAGCGGGAATGTCAGGCACCCACTTCCTTACTCTGAGCCATCTCAGCATCCATGGTGGTTTCAAAGCTGCTGAAAAGAGCAGAGAAGCCAGATTAGGCTATAGAAAGGTGTTTGTACACAGAGGTACACTCAGAAACACCAGAACATACATGTGTTTCTCAGAAGGCTTGAGGGCCCTTCCTGGTCTGTACCAGGAGGAACCTTGAAGGAACTGAATGTAGCCAGAAACCTCAGGGAAAGCTGCTTGCAAGAGCAGGTTTTGAAATACCCTGGAAAGAACCAGGCGTGGCATTAGAGATCAGGGTGCGGCTCCAAGCTGGGGAGGGGGTTTGGGCACCCAGCTCCTTGAGACCTGGGTTTGGATGCATTGCTGATGCTGGGCATGAGAATGTGGTTGCTGACTCAGAGCTCCCAGGATAGAGTCACAAGAATATAGGGGATTTAGGGATGTTCTCTCTCTTTTTTAAAAATTGAAACATCTCCAATATTATGTAACATTTTTTTCATCAGATATTGCTGTGCAAATGTTTTGTAGCCAGCAACTTCATTTTTCTCATTTTAAGATGATGCCTTAGATTAGTGGTTCCTTGAATTTATTGGGTTTTATGCCCCTTGAAAGTCTACTGAAAACTGTGGGCACTCTCTTCAGAAAAACTGCATCCAGGCAGAATTCAGCATCCAATGTCAGAGATTGCACAGATACCTTTGAAACCTAAGAGGACCTATGGATCTCCTTCAGATAAATGGAAAGTCCTTTGTTTCTAATTTTCCTCATTCTGAATTAAAGAAATTGATACATGAGTTCTCTCTGTCCCCTAAACACTGGGTGCCTTGCATTTGCTGACCATGCTTATTAATGGGAAAGCAAAACTTGCCTTTTCAGAGAGTGCTGGTGGTGATAAGAATTGTCATAGTGATAAGAATTGTGCCTCTGGGTTTCCACATGTGACATGTGGGTTTATGGGGGTGGCTGTTAACAGTTTCTGAGTGTCTGTTCTCTCCTTTCTGTTGGTTGGATATAGCCAAGCCCATCCGCCCTGGACACTACCCGGCATCATCTCCAACAGCCGTCCATGCCATCCGAGGGGGAGGAGGCAGCTCTTCAAATTCCACTCACTACCAGAAATAAATACGAAGTGAGTCCCTGGTGTCAGGTGGTTTCTCTGGGGCAGCTTCCTGCTGCCGCCTGCCCCCACACCTCCCCACCCCCCGCCTATCTCAGCCACACCTGTGTTGATCTGTAGTCAGAGGAGCAGAGATCAGCTCTACTCCAACAACATGCCCTGGGGGTTCTAGGTTTTGGGGGACCTGAACCTACCCTTAAATCAGTTTAGAGGCTTAGTCTTCCAGCTGGGGCCACCTGACCCTGGGAACCTTCAGGATTAGGTGAGGGTGTGGCAAATGAGTCACCTGAGCTTGCTTTTGTTTGGGGGACTACCCTCTGTAGCTGACATCCAAAAGGGCACTCACTACCTGTTTATCAATTGCTTTTTTCCAGAGCAGACAGACATGGGTGGTTGCGATAAGTCTCAGGAACTGAATGTAAAGAAAGAGCCAGCCAGATAATTGAAAGTCTTATTTTTATAATTACCCTTTGATCTCAACAAATGGTTTTTTAAAAGATGTGCTCATTTATGTCTAGGCAGGTCCAGACCACTTTTTTCTTGGAGACAGTGGGCTGTAAACGTCTCTTTCCACAACCCATGTGGCCAGTGTTGCTCTACCAGCAAAAGAAAGAAAAGTGGTATGTTGTGGAAGAGAGATCACCCAGCTCATTCCTTTGAGAGAGAGAAAAGAAGTTACTGGCTGGGCAGGGCAGAAAGATAACTGGATCTGTTTAGAAAAGCTCTGACTTTGCACCAGTGACCTGTGGATGCAAAGAGGTGGCTCTTAGTGTTGTGTTGTTCTCAGATTAAACCCTCATTAAGGAAGCAGCTTGCAAAAGGGGTAAGTTGCAGCAGTCAAGGGCAGTTCAAGAGAGAAGTGGCCTCTCATTGAATTCTTCTTGCATCAAGGTAATCAAGGTGAGGGGCTGGAGTCCTCATGCAGGGGGGGTGTCAGCACTGCTCAGCCTCAACCTGAAACTTCCAAGAAGGAAACCAAACCTAAGGGCTGAACCCAGACCACTTTCACCAGTGTCACCCAGGCAGCATGCCAAGGGGTGGGGCAGGGCTAGACAGATTTCTGAGGACTCAAGGGAAGGCTGAGGTAGGGGTGGGCAACTTTTCTATCACCTTTTGCCCCATCTTAGAAGGGTGGATGGGACCTGATCTTGGCAGTAGGCACCTCATCCAGATCCAATCTCTGCTTTCAATGAGAAATAAAATAGGATGGCATACAATTGCTTTTGACTGCATATTAACATTTTGGGTTAACAGTGAAGGGAATCTTAAGACCAGAGCGGGCAGCTTAGGATAGAAAGTACTCTGGGTTCTCATAAGTTTCTGGATGTTCAACTAACAAACAAACTTTGTTAGTCACCAAAGTTTGAGAACTATTATCTCATAGTAACTATGACACGCACAGAATGGACGCTCATTTCTCTACCATAGAGAGGAAGTTCGAGCGTGAGCTGTCAATGGCAGGTAAAGGAACTCTACATGACAATGGAAACCAGCCTCTTCAATTTAGACTCTGTCACTGTCCTCAGCGAGTATCAGCCTTCCTCAAGGTCATCCTGAGAGTTTTGCCAAAATGACTCCTATAATTCTAGCTATCATACCTACCTTTCAAGCTTAGCAAGCAGGAAGGAAGCCAGGAAGAGGCGAAGCAGCTCTCCTGGCTAAATCGGTTTCCTTTAGGTAACCTTATCAGAAAGTCCCATACAGTACTCATGTCGACATCATCTGGCCTGAATGGGGACACATGTCCTCTCTACCTGCAAGAGTCTGGAGGAGGTTCCTTCTAAGTGGACACCTCATTACCCCTAATAAGAGAGTAGGAGCGTGTTCTTTCTTTCTTCTTCTTCTTTTTTTTAAATTCTTAGAGACTTTTTGAAACTTTAATGCATATATATTTTTTAGGATTTATTTATTTATTTATTTTTAAAAATAAATTTTTATATTCCCCATACAATTGCAACCCCCTTATTTTTACCCCAATCCCTCCCCTCCCCGCCCCCCACCCCCCATAAAGTGTCTCTGGTTCATAGTTTTTTGTTGATTTTGATTTTCACTTTCTTATAGTTATTCATTTTCCTGGTGCCTTATTTCTAAGTTCTCTAGATTCCTGCTATGAGTGAAACCATCTGATATTTTTCTTTTTCTTTCTGGCTTATTTCGCTGAGCATGATCCCTTCCAGCGCCATCCATGTTGCTGCAAATTGCATGTGTTTATCTTTTTTGAATGCTGAGTAATATTCCATGGCGTATATGTACCACATCTTCTTGATCCAGTCATCTATTTTTGGGCATTTGGGCTGTTTCCAAAGCTTAGCTATTGTAAACAGTGCTGCTATAAACATAGGGGTGCAGGTGCTCTTTGGAATGGATGTTTCTGTGTCCTTTGGGTCAATACCTAGGAGTGGAATTGCTGGATCATATGGAAGCTCTGTTTAGTAGGTCCAGAAATTTCCACACAGAGGAGCGTGTTCTTTCACTGAGGGCAAAGAGATGGATATGGTGAGCAGCCTGTACTCTGCGTTTACTGAACAGCTAATGTGCAGCAGTATTGTGCTGGATGTAGCAGCCACAGCCACATCCCCCCACGTACCTGCTCCCTGTGAGCATGCAGGGAGGTATGTATGCCTGACTGCCCACAGGCCTTTAATAAATATATTGGCCCAGGCATTTTGGGGTCCAGAGATCATGCCATGGACACTTCCTCATGCAGTAGCATAAAGGTCTGCCAGACCCGCACTTTACATAAGTAGGCACAGTCACAGGCTGGCCGGCCATCACCCATGTATGTACTTACACCTAAGACTGAAAAATCTGGTAAGACTGAGGTCTGGTAAGACCTCAGGAATTTAAAAGTCACAGAATCATCCTTACCCATCATGATGGTTTGTTTTTTCATATAGATGATGAGGTTATTTTATTTAAAACTGGAAAATTCTTGACCCACTTTATATAGATCTTCCTTGACTTATGATGGGTTACATCCCAGAGAATAAGTAAGTTGACAATGTTCTAAGTGAGATGCTGGCAGTGCTGTGGGGTAGCAGCTGTTTCCCCTGGTGGTCCTGGGCTGGCTGGGAGCTCTGTTCCCTGCTCACCCAGCATCACAGGGAGTGTTGAACTGCCTACAGCTAGCCCAGGAAAATGTAAAAATTCCAAATTTGAATTATGACTTTTTTTGCACCACCGTAAAGTTGAATTGAAAAATTGTAAGTTGAGTTTCTGTATGTCAGGGACCATCTGTACAAACAGCTCCTCTAACTGGACTGTTTTTATCAAAAAGTCAAAAATTGGCTCTATTTGTAGGTGCCAGGAAGGTGGTGTTAAGCCGCCTGGCTTTGGACAAGAGACTTGAATTGGGTTTCTGGTCTTCTACTTTTTCTTCCTTTACTTCACTGCAGAGTTATTTTTCTTTTCTGTGAAATGGGGAGAATACTTCTCCTGAATCATTGGCATTGAGTGAGGACTAAATGAGGTCATGCTTCTAAGCTGCTTGGCAAATAATAAGCACCCACTTAAATTGTCAGCTTCTAGTATAGAGTAGCCGTGCTTGGCACAGAGTGGGTAGTTTCTGAATATTGGCTTCTATTCTCCTCCAGTGTCTCTCTGTGATTGTAGATTATAATCACCAAGTCCGGAAGACCCACATCTGAGTACCCTGTTTGGCGTGCTGAACAGATACAAAGGATCTTGAAGATTCTATCATTTAATTATCTAAACATCATAAATAAGAACATTGACTATTTTTAAGAAAATAATTAAACATTTTTCAGTAGAGGTTAAGAGAGGGTAGTAACCAATGGAATGTGAAATTATAATTGAAAATGAGGAAAACTTTAAATCATTTTTTGAAAAAGCGATGGAAATACAGAATTTGCTGTTTAGATGAGATCACCACCTTTTTGAGATGGTCTTTCCTGATCTTTGTGATTCTCACTCTGAGTGAGATACACAGGCCTTTGAGCCTGAGGTGAGCAGTGGGACTGTGACCTAAATATCCCAGGCCTCTGGGGGTCTTTGGCACAGGAGTGGTGGGACCTAGCTGATGATTGGAAAAAGCCACCCTGGGCTGGGCTCTGGAGACAGGACAGGTGAGAGAGTAAGAGGTGTCCCCACCCGTTCCTCTTGGGAGGGAATAGCACTCAACCAAGGCAGTGGCACATAGTCAGAGTCAGCCCGAGTTTTCAGGGCGACCAAAGGCAGTTCTGGGTTTGGGTCTTGGCCACCAGGTACCTTTTAACAATGGCTGGGAAAATTGGTCACAAGCAGGTTTCATGGAAGGAGCAAGTGTGGTTTTCATTATTCGGATGGTAAGATGTCTCTTAGCCTTCTGACCTAGCTCACCATTCAAGTGGGAGTGCTGAGTAAGCACTGACGAGTCTATAGCTCAGGAGAAAGGCCAGGGTGGACATCTTAGAGGGTTATGACCCGTAGACTGTGCTTAAGGCCCTGGTCTGGGGGAGGTAACCTGGAGACAAGGTAGACTGGGAATGAAAGATAGGATAAAGAAGGTGGTCTGGTGGTATAAGGAATGGTCTTTTGCTTTTCCTATATTTCCATCATTACTTCTCAAACTTGAATAGTAAATGGGGTAATATTAAATGAATAAAATTCTCAGATTCCAAGCTTATTTGATTTTCTTAAATAGTAAATTTAATAATGAAATTTTAAAATCTAGTGTACATTCCTTGTACCGATATTAAGTAGCTATTAGATCAAAACAAATCTATAAATAAGACTCCACCTCCCCACATTGGTCTGAGAAGGAGAATGTGAGAACTGGAGAGGCGGAGGAGGCCTGGGTCCTGGAAGGAACTGGTCAGCTGTGTCAGAGGCTGCTCAGAATTCAGGGAAGATGATGAGAGACTGGGCGGTGGCAAAGAGCTGTTGGTGACAACCTTGAGCAGATTCAGTGGAGATTGAGCACGGCGAACAGGGGCTAGAGAAAGGGAGGTGGGAAAGGAGAGGCAGCAACTGTTGTGCTTGGCAGAGCAGTGGAGGGTATGGGGTTAAGAGAG